TACAGGGGGGCTGTTCAGATTCTTATCTCTTTCTATAAGCTCCAGAAGCCAGCTGTCCTCAGGACAGCTGTCTTACTGTTGAAAACGGAGGCAAAGAAGGTGTTAAATACCTCAGCCTTTTCCTCATCTTTGATAGCTATATTCCTGCCCATGTCCAGTAAAGAATGGAGGTTTTCCTTGCCCCTCCTTTTGCTATTGATGTATCTGTAGAAGGACTTTTTGTTATCCTTCACAGAGGTGGCAAGATTGAGTTCAAGTTGTCCCTTTGTCTCTCTAATTTTCTTTCTACATGACCTAACTATATTCCTAAATTCTTCCTGAGTAGCCAGCCCTTTTTCTGTAATTGGTAGGCTCTCTTCTTTACCCTGATTTCTTTCAAAATCTCCCTGTTCAACCAGACCAGCCGTCTTCCCCACTGGCTTGCCTTTCGGCACACTGGGACAGCCTGCTCCTGTGTGTTCAAAACTTCCTCCTTGAAGTACGTCCATCTCTCCTGGACCCCTTTGTTTTCAAGGGTTGTTTCCCAGGGTACACTCTGAAGTAGTCTTCTGAATAGGCCAAAATCTGCCCTCCGGAAGTCCAACGTAGAGGTTTTATTGACGGCCCTCCTTGCATCCCTGAGTATTGAAAACTCTATTATTTCATGGTTACTGTGTCCCAGACGTCCACCGACCACCACATCTCCCACCAGCCCCTCTCTGTTTGTGAACAGGAGGTCTAGCAGGGCTCCATCCCTGGTAGGCTCATTTACCAGCTGGAGCAGGAAATTATCCTCCATACACTCAAGGAATCTCCTAGACTGCCTCTTCTACACTGTGTGGGGTTCCCAGCAGACATCTGGCAGGTTGAAGTCACCCATGAGAATAAGGGCTGGCAATTTTGAGACATCCGCCAGCTGCTTGTAGAATAATTCATCACCCTCATCCTCTTCATTGGGTGGTCTGTAACAGACTCCCACCAGGATGTCAGCCTTGTTGGCCTTCCCCCTGATTCTGATCCACAGGTACTCAACCTTATTGTTACTGACTTCAACTTCTACAGAGTCAAGAGACTCTCTAACACATAGAGCTACCCCTCTACCTCTCCTACCCTGCCTGTCCCTTCTGAAGAGCCTGCAGCCACCCATGGTAGCACTCCAGTCATGCGAGTCATCCCACCATGTTTCCGTGATGGCGACTACATCATAGCTTTCCTGCTGGACGATGGCTTCCAGCTCCTATTGTTTGTTACCCACACTGCATGCATTGGTGAACATGCATTTCAGCTGGGCTGCTGATTTCACTTTTAACTCGGGCTTTCCACCCTTAGGCTCATCACTGGAGAGCCTGGTTTCAAGCCCTTCCCCCTTCAAAGCTAGTTTAAAGCCCTTGCCAACTGTATTTCAAGTCGCCATGGCGGGGCTAGCGTCCTTTTGCCCTTGCTAGATAGATGAAGCCCATCTGATTTGAAGAGACTAGGTATGATGGAATTTGCCCCATGGTCAAAAAACCCAAAGTTCCGCCGGTGGCACCAATCCCTTAGCCACCTATTGACAAGATGGGTTTTCCTACTCCTCTCCTTATTCATCCCTGCTACTGCAGGAACTGAGGCGAACAGCACCTGTGCTCCTGTCTCATCAACTATTCGACCCACCACCTTGAAGTCCTTTTTAATTGCTCTGATACTCCTTCCATTAATGTCATCACTGCCAGCCTGGACTACCAACAGTGGATAATAATCTGAGGGACGAATTAGCTGAGGGATTCTCCTACTAATATCCCTCACCTGGGCCCCAGGAGGGCGGCAGACCTCCCTGTGGGATGGGTCCAGTCGACATATAGGGCCCTCAGTTCCCCTCAGAAGGGGGTCACCTATTACAACTACCCTTCTTTTTTTCTTTGTAGCTGTAGTTGTAACCCATCTGGTAGACGGGGTGCAAACAGAAGACCTTCTAGACAGATCTTCCTCTTGTCTGTTCTCTGCCTGATTCTCTGAGTCCAGGGCCTCATATCTGTTCTCTAAGGGCACCCGGGGGGATGGTGGGGGTTGGGAGGGGGTTCTTTTACCTCTCCGGTGAAGGACCTGCTTCCATTTCCCCCCATCTACCTGGTTTGCTCCAACTGCCTGATGGCAGGAGGGGCAGGGCTTCATTGTCTCCTGCTGGACTTCTTTTGGGGGGGAAGGGGTGTGACTCCACCAGTCAATTTCCCTTTCACTTTCCCTAATACTTCTTAGTCTCTCCACCTCTTCCTTGAGTTCTGCCACCAGGCATAGCAAGTCGTTCACCTGCTCACATTGCACACAGACCCCACTCACACTGTCCTCTGGTGCTAACACCAGGCTCAAACACTCTGCGCAGCCAGAGGCCTGAACAGCTGCGTCCGTCTTGGTGTCCCTCTTAAGGACTTCTGCCTGTGTGGACACACCCTTCGTCTTAACAGCACCAGCAACAGTTTTCGTTTTTTTGGAAACCATTGCTGGCTTAAGCTGAGTTATGATGGGGGAAAAAAAAACAAGAAAAGAAAAAAAAAAGCTCCTCCAAGAGAGCTGGGAGGCATCTGTGCCCCTCCTGCTTGCCCTGCCTTGCTAATTGCCGTGCCACGATCCTGTTTGCCTGCTCCTTTTCGCCGTGCTCCAGGTCACTGGTACTCCCAGCAGCCGTTTAAATCCCTCTTGGCAGTGCTGGGTGCCACCCCCTAATCAGCTGATTGGCCTCACCTGAGACCTCCAGCAAAAAGCCTGAGACCTCCAGCTTGAAAGGTGTGGAACCCTTTGCTTCTCTAGCTGTTCACCAATTCTATATCTTTCCACATCTCTCTATTACTTACCTTGAGTAAGCTGCCAAGCAGCTCCTTGGGTATCATTTCTGTGTGGCATAATCACAGTGTCAGTGGGGATTTTGTAGGATGCAATTTTCGAAAGCACTTGCTGTAGGCCTGATCTTGTCCTCACTGATACCACTGAGAATTTTACCACTAACTGCCAAATATGAAGGACTTTGGGGGCTTAAATTTTGCCTGTTGTCATTTCCTTTGAAATCATCATTGACTGTTATGGGTATGTAGATGTGCTCATGAAAGTTATTTTAGCATCTTTCTGAGGCTTTTCATTAGAAGAAAATTTTGTGTTTTGCAAAACATTGAGTAATTTTCTTCCATGTCTTCATCATTAGTGTTGAGAAAAAAACCAAACTCATACCTCAGCTTTAGCATTGTTAATTGCTCAGGTGTCTTTTTGTAGGTGTCCTCAAGCAGACATTTCACAGGAATAAGGTTGTGGTCAAAGGATGCCTGTTACTAACAAAAATATTACTTTCAGAAAAAGAGATTTTTTGCATTTATTTTAAAGCTTCTCTAAGTTTTAAGAGTTGAAGGAAAAAGTTGAAACTTTTTGTTTAAGGAAAATCCAAAGCTCTTCTTCAAAAGACAACCATTTTTTGACCCTTAGAGATGTTCCCTCATCCTATATTCCTGTGTTCTTTTCTGCGATTCTCTCCTTTAAGTCCAGCTCATTGACTCAGGAGATGTTAAACCTGTGATCAGAAATACTAAACCCGGGTATGGATTCTGGCTTCTCATATTGTTTACCTTGCTTAAACCTGAAAAAAGAATAACATTTATAAGAGCTCTGTAAGTGTCTGTGTCACTCAAATCTGCCTTTTCTGTTTAGAACAGAAATTTACTTCTGTTAGTCTTGAATATTGTAAAGATTTAAGATTCCAGAAAATAATGATATTTTCGTGAATTGGCAGTCAAATTAGACCCAAAAAGATTATCCAAATTACTTAGTTGTCTTAATTTCTGGATATTCTTCTAGTGTATAAACTTGAAGTTTGAGAGCCTTTGGAATTACATGGTCTACAAATTATAACTATTCAATTTAAAATAGTCTGGATCTGACCTAATCAGTCATTTTTCTTTCCATAATCCCCCATATCATTCCACAAGTGTCCTAAGTTCCTTTAATCAGGGGTTGTATACAGGATTGATGAGTAAATCTACAAGTCTTTTATTACTGCCTTCTACTGTTGCTTAGTCAAATATGTGTTTAAACTACGGATGCTTCTGAGAATTAAACTAGTGCTGATTTCAGTATGGGAAGGGATCATTAATTAGCAGTCTTCCAGGGATCCTCTGATCATCTCCTCCTCATTTCTTTTTTGCTTGGGCATTTTATCAATTCAAAGATTTGCAAAACTGGAACACATTTATCTAGTTCTCATGTGCAATTGACCTTTGATATGTATGTTCTAATTAGCTATTTAATGTCTTTGTTATATGTGGAATTGTGTGACTCCTGTTCCTTCTCCAGGGTGGGAGCCAGAAACACTGGAGAGATATTGATCAAAGTTAAAGTAGTAGAAATTTCAGAAGCCAAAAGAAAAAAATCTCATTTTCTTATGTTTGTGGGCTGTTATTGTTTTATTTTATGCCATTTTATTTTTTGTATAAATCTGATAAATGAACTGGAAAAACCCACAAAACACAATTAGTGATGCAACTTTTCTATTTCAAATATTTTGGTGATTAATATTCTTATAATGTAATGTTTTACATCTGGATTAAGAAAAATACATAACAATGATAATTGAAGACATCAGAGAACATTAAAAATCTTTGGTTTGAGTGGACTCTCTTTCTAGAAGAGAACTTTGTTTTATAGCAGACCCTAGAAACAAAATTAACTCTTGTATTCATTTTTTTTTCTGCACCTTTCTAAACCTTAGCAGAAGGATTGAGTTTTAAAGGTTTCATAGAATCATAGAATGGTTTGGGTTGGAAGGGACCATAAGGGTTATCTAGTTACAACCCCCCTTCCCTAGGCCAGGACACCTTCCACTAGACCAGGTTGCTCAAAGCCCTTCCTCCCTTCTGGTGGAGTAGCCTGTAACAGAGTCCAGTAAAGCCAGCTGTGTCTGACTTCCCTTAATTCTTGATCCATTTGCTCTTGGTCAGCTCCTCATCCATCCCCAGGCAGAGCTCCCTGCACTACAGCTGTTCACTAACACAGAGGGTGACATGACCTTTGTGCAGTGGCAGTATCGTAGCCCATTAGGTTAATCCGAGGAGCGATTATTGCAAGTTGAAAACTTTTCCCAATACCCCGCCATGGCGACTTGAAATACAGTTGGCAAGGGCTTTAAACTAGCTTTGAAGGGGGAAGGGCTTGAAACCAGGCTCTCCAGTGATGAGCCTAAGGGTGGAAAGCCCGAGTTAAAAGTGAAATCAGCAGCCCAGCTGAAATGCATGTTCACCAATGCATGCAGTGTGGGTAACAAACAATAGGAGCTGGAAGCCATCGTCCAGCAGGAAAGCTATGATGTAGTCGCCATCACGGAAACATGGTGGGATGACTCGCATGACTGGAGTGCTACCATGGGTGGCTGCAGGCTCTTCAGAAGGGACAGGCAGGGTAGGAGAGGTAGAGGGGTAGCTCTATGTGTTAGAGAGTCTCTTGACTCTGTAGAAGTTGAAGTCAGTAACAATAAGGTTGAGTACCTGTGGATCAGAATCAGGGGGAAGGCCAACAAGGCTGACATCCTGGTGGGAGTCTGTTACAGACCACCCAATGAAGAGGATGAGGGTGATGAATTATTCTACAAGCAGCTGGCGGATGTCTCAAAATTGCCAGCCCTTATTCTCATGGGTGACTTCAACCTGCCAGATGTCTGCTGGGAACCCCACACAGTGTAGAAGAGGCAGTCTAGGAGATTCCTTGAGTGTATGGAGGATAATTTCCTGCTCCAGCTGGTAAATGAGCCTACCAGGGATGGAGCCCTGCTAGACCTCCTGTTCACAAACAGAGAGGGGCTGGTGGGAGATGTGGTGGTCGGTGGACGTCTGGGACACAGTAACCATGAAATAATAGAGTTTTCAATACTCAGGGATGCAAGGAGGGCCGTCAATAAAACCTCTACGTTGGACTTCCGGAGGGCAGATTTTGGCCTATTCAGAAGACTACTTCAGAGTGTACCCTGGGAAACAACCCTTGAAAACAAAGGGGTCCAGGAGAGATGGACGTACTTCAAGGAGGAAGTTTTGAACACACAGGAGCAGGCTGTCCCAGTGTGCCGAAAGGCAAGCCAGTGGGGAAGACGGCTGGTCTGGTTGAACAGGGAGATTTTGAAAGAAATCAGGGTAAAGAAGAGAGCCTACCAATTACAGAAAAAGGGCTGGCTACTCAGGAAGAATTTAGGAATATAGTTAGGTCATGTAGAAAGAAAATTAGAGAGACAAAGGGACAACTTGAACTCAATCTTGCCACCTCTGTGAAGGATAACAAAAAGTCCTTCTACAGATACATCAATAGCAAAAGGAGGGGCAAGGAAAACCTCCATTCTTTACTGGACATGGGCAGGAATATAGCTATCAAAGATGAGGAAAAGGCTGAGGTATTTAACACCTTCTTTGCCTCCGTTTTCAACAGTAAGACAGCTGTCCTGAGGACAGCTGGCTTCTGGAGCTTATAGAAAGAGATAAGAATCTGAACAGCCCCCCTGTAATCCAGGAGGAAACAGTTAGTGACCTACTGAGCCACTTGGATCGCCACAAGTCTATGGGACCAGATGGGATCCACCTAAGGGTGATGAGGGAGCTGGCGGAAGAACTTGCCAAGCCTCTCTCCATCATCTACCAACAGTCCTGGCTCACTGGGGAGGTCCCAGATGATTGGAAGTTGGTGAATGTCACGCCCATCCACGAAAAGGGCCGGAAGGAGGACCTGGGAAACTACAGGCCCGTCAGCCTGACCTCAGTGCCTGGCAAGGTTATGGAGCAGACCATCCTAAATGCAATCCCACAGCACCTACAGGATGGACAAGGGATCAGACCCAGCCAGCACAAGTTTAGAAAGGGCAGGTCCTGTCTGACCAACCTGATCTCCTTTTATGATCAGGTGACCTGCCTGCTGGATGAGGGGAAGGCTGTGGACGTGTCTACCTGGACTTCAGCAAAGCCTTTGACACCGTCTCCCACAGCATACTCCTGAAAAAGCTGCAGCTCACGGCTTGGACAGGGGTACTCTGTGCTGGGTTAGGAACTGGCTGATGGCTGGGCCCAGAGAGTGGTGGTGAACAGTGCTGCATCCAGTTGGCAGCCGGTCACTAGTGGTGTCCCCCAGGGATCAATGTTGGGCCCAGTTCTGTTCAATATCTTTATTGATGATCTAGATGAGGGGATTGAGTCCATCATCAGCAAATTTGCAGATGACACTAAGCTGGGGGGGAGTGTTGATCAGCTGGAAGGCAGGAGGGCTCTGCAGAGGGACCTGGACAGGTTGGAGAGTTGGGCTGATTCCAACAGGATGAGGTTCAACAAGGCCAGGTGCGGGGTCCTGCACTTTGGCCACAACAACCCCCTGCAGTGCTACAGGCTGGGGACAGAGTGGCTGGAGAGCAGCCAGGCAGAAAGGGACCTGGGAGTTTGGATTGACAGGAAGCTGGACACGAGCCAGCAGTGTGCCCAGGTGGCCAAGAAGGCCAAGGGCATCCCGGCCTGGATCAGGAATGGTGTGGCCAGCAGGAGCAAGGAAGCGATTCTTCCCCTGTACTCAGCGCTGGTGAGGCCACACACCTGGAGTGCTGTGTGCAGTTCTGGGCCCCTCAGTTCAGGAAGGATATTGAGGTGCTGGAGCAGGTCCAGAGAAGAGCAAAGAGACTGGTGTAGGGACTCAAGCACAAGTCCTGTGAGGAGAGGCTGAGGGAGTTGGGGCTGTTCAGCCTGGAGAAGAGGAGGCTCAGGGGAGACCTCGTCACTCTCTACAACTCCCTGAAAGGAGGTTGTAGCCAGGTGAGGATTGGTCTCTTTTCCCAGGCAACTATCAGCAAGACAAGAGGGCATGGTCTTAAGCTGTGCCAGGGGAGGTTTAGGTTAGATATTAGGAAGAATTTCTTTCCAGAGAGGGTAATCAGGGTAATCAGACATTGGAATGGGCTGCCCAGAGAAGTAGTGGATTCTCCATCCCTGGAGGTTTTTAAGAAGAGACTGGATGTGGCACTTAGTGCCATGGTCTAGTGACCACAGCGGTAGTGGATCAAGGGTTGGACTTGATGGTCTCAGCGGTCTTTTCCAACCTGGCTGATTCTATGTTCTATGTTCTAAGCACTACAGTGGGGATGGCTCTCATGTCCAGGTCCTTGAAGTGTATCCTTTTTGTCATTTTTTTTCCATCCAGGCAGTTGCTTCTTGTGTCAGCTGCAGAGTGCTGGAACATGCCTTGCAGAGCTGCCTTCTGCCAGCTGCCTTGTGCACTGCACACAGCAGCACAAACTGTATTGTCCCATCTGTTCATTACAGTGTCACAGAATCACAGAGTCATTTAGATTGGAAAAGCCCTCTAAAATCATCGAGTCCAATTATTAAACCCAGCACTGCCAAGCCCACCAAGGACATGTTTTGTTCTTTTCTCATCACTCATTCTGTGTGTTACCAAAGCGAAAGTGACACTTCTCTGATTTATTTCTCATACCCTCTGCTGATCAGCAGCAAAAACTGATTATCCCCATTTATCCCCACTTCTTTATATCCTGGACCAGCACCATCTGTTCTATTCACCAGGCTGAGCCATAACAGTGATTTACCCCTGATAGTCGTGGTAGATTGCTCCTTGCTCAACAAATTGGTTCACTCATTTAATGGAAATTTTAGGGGAGAATCATAGAATTACGGAGTCAACTGGGTTGGAAAAAACCTCTGAGATCATCAAGCCCAACCCTGTATGTTATCCTTAATAAGAAAAAAAAGGCTCTTGCCCTCTATGAGTAACAGCCTTAAGTTTTATAAAATACTGGTTTCCTCTTCGATTTATGGCAAAGTGCTGTGCTTTTAGTTTATGAATTTGTGTATTTTGTATTGATTCTGCTTCATTCTGTTTGCTGGTAATTTTATCTCCTTCACTTTATTATTACTGTGACTGATGTGTTCTCTTGAAAATTTCATTTATTTTTACAATTCCTATAACTTTCTTCTTAATTTATATGTTGCTGTACAAAATAAAAATCACAAAAAGACTGAGGCATTAAATTTCTATAAAGACATGCCATGGGATTAATATTCCACAGTTTGATAAAATCACAGAGCTGCTCACTAAACATAATATACTCATGCATAAAAAACCAATATACTCACTATAACTGAATAATGAAAATGGACATTCATGTAGCCCACACGTGTACCAAATGTAGGGGAAAAGTATTTATGCTATCAAAGAAATAAGCATAATTTCTCATTCCTGAATATTAAAAGCAATTCAATACACAGAATATTAAGTCCTATCATTCATGATCATTAACTAATCCCTCTCTTCTTCCCCGTCTCAGTCTCCTGCAGCCCTCTCCACCTCCTTATAAATTTAACTTTAAAAGAAGAGTGGATCTTCCATGTACATAAGTGAATATTATAGACTGTGTAATACAATGCAATCATTACAATAATACAGCTTACAAGTCTGATTTCAGAGGGACAGCAACATAATTGCCCATAACTTCAAATTTATGTTTATCTCAATTTGCCACACTCACTTACATAAACAACTCTAGCAATTTTAAAGGCTTGCTACCAAACTCTATTTCCTCAAGTATCAATGAAAATTAACTGCAGAAAATGCCCTTGGCAGGCAATCTGAAAGGACAATTTAGGAACTGCAAAGTGTTACATCTAACTGCCACCTTTGAGCATGGCTAACTAGGAACAGCTGATTAGTATCCCTCTAAACCTGCCTTTTGCCAGGAACTTTTTTCCCCTGAATTCAATGAACAGTTTTGATGACAGCTTCACTAGGAGAGGATGAGGACTTTACTCATTTTCATTTTCTTTTCATTTTCTTTAGTTCTGATACTTCAGAGGATTGCAGGACCCTGTTTTTAATATGGTGCCAAATTGTTTTAGGAGAGGAGTCTGTAGAATCTATGGAATGGTTTTCGAGCCTAGTTTGAAGGTTTGCCTGGAATTTGTCTCTCACTGTGGCTGATTGGAGATCATATTAAAAACAGCGCCCTGCAATCCTCCGAAGAATCCTTAGGGTTCTCCTTCAAGAAGAACAAGGACTGGTTTGATGAAAACAATCAAGAGATCCAGGAATTGTTGAGGAAGAAGAGAATTACCCACCAAGCACACCTTGCACTGCCATCCTGTCACGCAAGAAAAACAGTCTTTCATCTTGCATGCAGCA